AACTGGCAATTAGAATTTTTAGCTTTTATTTTTTATTTTAAATATTACTTGTTTCAGGCAACACTATTTTTAGCGGTATGTTAGAAAACTTACTGAGTTCTGTGCTCCAAGGAACTCACTTTGAATCCACCTCTGTTCTGTTTGTGCAACAATAGACATTCACATCCAAAATCTGGTTTTTATATTGTTACTCTTTTCAGTGTGACTACTTTTACCAAAACTGGAAGTAAGAAAGTGGCCTTTCTAAGCATAACGAGGCGAGGCACATTGTTGAAAGACATTTATTTTACGGAATTCAGTCCTGGCCTTGGGAAATACGGAAAATATCAAAAATTTTATCTGTGAAAATTCTGAACTGCGCAATACAAATTTGTCGCACCTGCTCAAATTAAAAAAAATGCCCCCCATTCCCACATAATATCTGCCACTGAGTGGATAATCCCCTAAATGTCTCTTTACAATAACAGTTGATGAGGAAACATCAACAATGTCTGTGTATAAATTATATAGGTCCGTCAAAAGACATTACCAGGTCTCTCATGGAATAAGAAATCGATATTTTTTCTTTTACTATCAAGTCATAAGAAGCGGCGATTGGCCGTTGGTGCATCGGCAGGAGTCGCTATACCTTACCCTTACCAAAACAAAACCTCAAACCTTCAATACGTCTCGTTTTTCGGCAAAGGTGTTTTTTGTGGCTAACTCAATTACTGAAAGACATAAAACAACAGTTATTTTGATCAGCAAATTCCTTTACAGGTTCCCCTACAGTACACTTTCAAGTCGTCTTAAAAGCTCACAGTTAAATAAATTTCAATAAAAGATATGGTCCCGTGTTGTCCCCCTCGCTAAACTTTGCTCAACTTCACTAAATAGAAGTTGAGTGAATTTCTAAAAGTAGTTTTGCTAGGGCTGAATATTAAAAACTTCAATCATAAAAGCTAGAAACGTGCAATGCTTTTCTTAGCAAAAACGAAAGATAAACAGAGAATATAGGCGATATGGTCGCAGATAGATGGATGAAGTTTCGAAGGCTCCTCACCTTTCTGATGAAAATTGCAAAGAAATTATTGTAAAAGTTGGCCAAGAAATCAGAGTTATTATTGATAAAGATGGCAACGAAGCAAGCCACAGAAATTCGCCCAAGAAACAGGCAGGCATTGTAACAAAATGCCGTTCTAGAAAAACGAGAGCGTCTTTTTTGAGCCGAATCGCCCGAAATAACATTAGGAAGATGAATATTTCTGATCTTGGTTTTCAAAATTCTACTGGTGAAACGAAATAAACGTGAATGAAAGCCTGACCTAACACAACAAAAATCTGTTGAGGTTAACTAAAACAAAGAAGCGAGACCTAGACTACAAGTTTGTTTGGACACGAAACGGAAGTATTTACCTAAGAAAAGACAAAGCTAGCTCAGTATAAAAAAATCAACGACGTGGTAGATTTGGAAAAACGTGTGTAAGAACTCTTTTAATACCATTTTGGCATAAAACTGTTTATGATTATTAAAACTCAATTTTTGCGACCTATGCAATTGTTGGATCCATTTAGAAATCATTTCATGAACTTTCTGAACAAGATTGAGAATTCATTTGTGCCACCTGCCTTCATAATGCTTTTCCGTTTCAATGTTTAAATAATGTAAAAATTATGAAAGAGCTTAAAGGCAATCTGTCTCGTTGTGGATTGGTTAACGAGAACAAAAGCTGGAGCAATAGCCTAAACACAATTCCAGCGCTCCGCCATATTTTTTACAATGCGATAAATTAAAGGGGGACTGGAAACAATTAAAACCCCGTTGTTCTTTTAATCAATCAACGTCGTGACATATTGCCTTTAACATCGAAAGTGATGAATCGCTCATTCATATCGTAAATATCACTACCGGAACTCATACGTCATCGTCTTCTATCCCTGGGGATCAACGTCAACACCTTGTTCACACAAGATGCACGAAAATCCGAAATTGGGATATAACTGATTTTGACAAACATTTGTTGACATTGGTGTATCCCTTGTGCTGTTTAAACACGTTATCCTTATTCCCTTTTTCACAATTGATTATAATAATCTGCTTAATCTTTCTTACAATATTAGCTTCACTTGTAAATGAAACTCAACAGCTATCTCGTAATTAGACTAAAGTCAACTTAATCAACTCGAAACTTGCAAATTAACTTACTCGAAACTTGCAAATAAACAAAAAATACTTACATAATTTAAGAGTGACGTAGATTCTAACTTACATAATTCTCTAAATTAAATTAATACGATAACCACGAATTTCATAAACTAATTGAGTCTCACTCTGTAAATGCTAATGAGATGTTAAGCATCCTTCATACTTATATTTCATATATCTCTAATAACCTAGAAAACTTAGAAATCTTGCTTGACAATCTTGATTCTATATTTGATAAACTTATAAATCAAATCAAACTAGAAGGATTTCATAATATTTCTGGGCAAACTGGTAGAAATATGAAAAGTGGGTGTGATGTTTTCATCGCTAACCATCTTTCCTATTCTTTAAAGGATGATATTAACAAATCTCATGAAAATTCTGACTTTGAATTTGAAGCCCATCCGATTAAAGATTCTAAATCCAAGCAAAACATATATATTTAAAGGTGTGGAATGCAATGATACTTGAAAACCTATCATCATTTTTCGATAACTTAAAATCTACTTTATCTAACATAAGTAAAGAAAATAAGGCAATATTAAATTTGAGGTGACTTTTTTATTAACCTTCTTAAAGTTGACAGTTCGGTCAATACTGATTCCTTCCTTAATTTGATGCTCTCAAACTTTCTTAAACCTCTAGTTTTAAGCCAACTAGAATTGTTGATAATCCTTCTCCTAGCCTAATTGATAATATTTTAAAAATGGCTTTGAAAAAGCAAACAATTGAGTAAAATAAAGCTTTTTGTCTGACAATGTTCGGAGTTTAAAACGTCAGAACATAAATCTGACGTTTGTTCTGATGTTCTAACGTTTTAAACCTTGAAGAGTGTCAAACAAAAAGCTTTATTTTACTCAAATGTTTGCTTTTTTCAAAACCATTTTCAAGTTTCGTACCACCAAAAGACTGTTTGATAATACTTTCATAAACTCTTTAGACACAGTAACAGATAGTGATGATTCGATAGATAAATTATCTGATCATTTTTTCCAATCTTCACTTTATTTGAGGTTGATAATAGAACTAAAGTTAAAGAAAACTCGATGTTTAGAGATTAACTCAATTTTAATAAGGAAACATACATAAATTATTCCAAACAGATAATTTCTTTTTCTGTTGATGAAACATTAGACTCAAAATGCGAAAAATTTCACAACAACTTTCTTACCCTGTTAAACAAGCATGCTCCATTAAAAAAAATCGAAACGCTTTAGGAAACAGCAACGCAAATCTAATGGCATTCTAAAATCAATAGCTACAAAAACCTCACTCCAAAAAAAGTTTATCGAAAGAAAAGACCAGTTTTGGTTTCTACGTCATGAAAAATACAAAAAATACACTTAATCGTGTAATTTAACTAAGTAGACAAAATCATTACACTTCATACTTTAATAGCTTCAAAAATGACTCAAAGCTAATCTAGAAAGGAATTAAAAAAATTATGAATAAAAAATAATCGTAAGTCTCATCAAAGGATAAAACTGGATTTTGAGGGTAAGCTTTTTTCAGACGATAAATAAATAGCTAATAACTTTTTTACAAAAGTATAGCTCCTAACCTAGCTAGCTAGGACTGACTATAAGGCTTTATTAAAAAATGAAATCTCAGAAATTTCTTTTCACCTGTTTAGCCTGGTAAAGTTAAATTATGCTACTCAAAGAGTTTAAATCACAAGTTTCATATGACATTCCAGTTACAATGGTGAAATACATAAGTGATTCTTTATCAAGTGTTCTATCTGACTTAATAAACGAGTCTTTAAGTAAAGGGCAATATCATTCTCTACTTTAAGATATTAGGTTATTCTAATTTACAAAGCAAACTCCAAATTAGACGTTTCTAATTATCGTCCAATATCCCTGTTAACCATTTTTAAAAAAGATTTTTGAATATTTCATGCATACCCGACTTGTCCAATTCTTAGAAAAACATAAAATATTATATTTCCATCAGTTTGGCTTCCAAAAAAATAAATCTACAACCCAAGCAATACTTAACCTATGTAACCATCAAACTAATGCCATTGAAAAGAAATAAATTTCTTTTTGTATGTTTTTAGATCTTGCTAAAGTGTTTGACACAGTTGACCATGAAATATTAATATCAAAGCTTTCTCATCATGGAATTAGAGGTACTGCTTAAAGATTGGTTTAAGTCTAATCTCTTTGATCGAACACAAAACTTCTACCTTTATTGGGTCCTATCTAAGTCACCTCGTATAACCCATGTAGTTCCGCAAGAAAGCGTCTTAGGTCCCCTATTTTTTCTATTATTTATAAATGAAATGCCAACTTCCTCAGAAATTCTGAAGTTTCATCTTTTCGCTAATGATACTAGAATTTGTTCTCTCATAAAAACTGGCATAGCTTAAAAACTATTGAAAATACTGAATTTAAGAGCACCTCAGAATGGCTTTCTGCTAATCAATTAACAATCTTTTGGTGGTACAAAACTTAAAAATGGCTTTGAAAAAAGCAAACATTTAGTAAACTAAAGCTTTTCGTCTGACACTCTGACACATGAATAATGCGACATCTTAATTTTCTTTCAATATTCGTTGAATGAGAAAATGTCACCTGTTGATAGAAGTGGTTTGAATCTTCTGTATGCTACAGTCATAGAACATTCTATTTGCTATTCAAATCATTCTATTTTGCTGCAAAAGTTGAAGCATTTTAGGCTTCAGAAGTAACAAAACATCATTAATTGCAGACATTTTATGGTTACTGTTGCCTAGATAAAATTCAATAGCCGTTCAAAATTTATGATTAATCAACCAGTTGCTCAACCAAATGAATCTTACATATTCATGTAATTCAAAAGGATATCCATTGACTGTGGGTGGTTAATAAAGACTACATCAATATTCTGTTGATAAACTTATTCTTTTCAAGCGATGACCAAGTTCATGTGAGCTGGTTGTGGTTTTCTGCAAGAAAGAAAACGACATAGAGATCAGAATTTTAATATGTCATTTTAAAAACTTATTAAAAAAGAAATTGAATTGAATTAACATTTTATTATGTATAAATGGAAGCAATCAGTTATTTGAACCATTTTAAGAATCATTTTGAAAAAAAATCTGTTATGATTAAACAACATGGAAATCTGTTGACACGACCTGTGCAAATATTCCTGTTTCGAAACTCCTGTTACAGATAAATTTTCATGGCCTATGTATAAAACACCATTGAAGATTGTAAATTTCAGCGATTTACTATTAGTATACTATCCTTTTTTGACTTGCTTATCAGGATTTTTCATGTTCTTATGCCACAAAAGTAACTTTTCACAAAAGGAGCATTAAGAGAATGACAATTCGTTTGGTTGCAGTGTCGTTTGATAACATGAAGTCATCTACGAGATCACTATCACAGGAATATTGCTAGGTGTAAGCTGAGTTCATTCAATAAAGCATAGAAACAGCTCGTTTCTATAGGACTTAATTTGATTCTCTGGGACTAATATTTCTTTGTAGCCTTTTCCTGAGATTATATTAAAAAAAACCTTATAAAGATGAATTTTTAATCAACTTTAAGAGAGAAAATGAGGCATCGACAAAGATAAATATGAAAATATACTTACTCTGAACTGGCGATCTTTAATTGATATCCCTTTGTCAAAAAGAGCATATTCCCAGCAAACTCAAAACATTCGCATAGAATATCGTTTTTTATAAATATTTTTCAATCTCACAATTTACTTGATTACTTTAAACCATGACAATGATAGAAACTTATTCCGCCTGTGAACAAACCTCATCATCTACTGTATTTTTAATTATAAGTCAAACACAGCTCAAAGAAGGTTTTTAACTAGGTAAATGTTTTTCTTCTGAAAATAAGTACCAAGATTGTATTTGATAATTGCCATAATTACCGAAATAAGTTGCATACCTTATGATTCATATAATACTAGAATCAAACTATCAAAATGATTTTATAATTTTTTACAAAAGCAATTATACGGTCCTTACTTTTAGCTTTTTTTGCCTAAGGACAGGGGAGACTGCCTATTTGCATTTCAGCACAATCAACATTCGGAATTTGAATAAATTTAGATTGCTCTTTGCGTAGCAGAATCAAAATATTCATTGTTAATTGTTTAGCAGAAGTGATCATAAAAAAAACCCAAAGGTATGACTGATGTCGACAGCAATTGACTGATATACAATATGAAATTGCCATTTGCTGCAGAAGCCAATGAACTTTGCACAGGTCATGTTTGCTATCTAGAATACGTCCAAAGTTTGTAAGAAATAAGAAATTGATGAAATTTATAAAGTTTTTTTGACAAAGCAAGGTCCTGCGAAAACATTATTCTTTAAAAGCGGATATGATTGTCTTAGATTTGCTTTCCTAATTTCAAGCCACATGTTTTTCTGTTGAGAACTGGTTGAGCAACTATAAATTATCAAACCTAAAATCACACCAAAATCTACTACATCTTGCAATGATGTGACTTTGTTATGGCTACAAAACCTTGTTGTTAACATTATGAAAGCTAAGGTTAATACGTCCTAGCATCAAATGAAAGAGTGCCTTCGTTTAAAAAAAAGGCTTGAATACAATGACACCTTATGAGTTTTTCATAAACATACAGAACAGGCACAGTTGACGTTGCTAGGGTATCAACATTGTATTGGTTTTAATGTATCGATTAAGGTCTATGTAATACAGTATGGGCTAAATAAACCACCTGTCTTTTATTTGCTTTACAAGCGAATAGAAACATTTAAAAGGGGTGCTTCAATATGTCATGACACAACTATAAAGCTGCAATGCACATTGTTCGTATCTTAATCAAAGAGTGACCGTGGATATGGAACGTTTTTTCTTATTCCTTGTGTTCTTTATTTTCGCACAAAAAAAGCTTGTTGTAGGCACAAACTTTGGAGTGTCAAAGACCTATTACATTCGCCATTTTGATGGAAAGTGCTTAGAGTACGATGAGGTCCGTCAGGTCCTGGTTTACGGTCGACTTTGCCGAGAAAAGTTCCAATGGCAGGGAGGAGCAAGACTCATCCATATACCAACAAAGAAATGCATCAATATCAATGCCACAAGCGATGGAAGCTTCTTGTCCTTGTCAAGCCAATGCAGTGGTACAAACAGTTTGTTTCAATACGATGAAAGCAATCGAGTGATTCGACATCTTCTCTCTAACAAATGTTTGCATCCAGAAAATAGAGATGCTGATCCTGCAAATAATACTGCAATTGTCCTGAAGTCAGGCTGCGATGGAAACACCAACAAATTCTACTTCAGAAAGAAAGCCTACTATATCATCCGGCACTTTGGTGGACTATGTTGGGTTTATAACTCTGCAGAGAACTTGATCAAACTGATGAATCCATTTGCATGCGATCGCTTTGAGTATGTGAATAATTACCATTTGAGGCACGTTGAAACCGGCAAATGTGTTATTTTCTCAAGTTCATATATACGACTGACTGACGACTGTCAATCTCCAGAAACAAATTACAAACTCAACCAGTTCTCTCTACTTGAGCATGGACCAACTAATTGTATACATCCTTTGAATGGAGCTTTATATCCTGCCAATGGAAATTTGCTTATCCTACATAGCAATGGATGTACTGATGAAGACCGCGCGAGATTCTCCTTCTTTGACGATAAAGGTAAACCATTTGTTATATATCAAAATAGATAGATGTAAATTCATCATAGCTCTCTGGCTACATAGCTCTCTGGTGCTCTACCATTATCTTGGCTATATGTGCTCTATCATAATCTGTTAACACTCGTGCATTGTCTTGTGCACAACATTGTTTCTGTACAATGGGCTTCTTTGATCTGTTGATATCATGTGAATGATGCACAATACAACCGTATATTGTCGCCTCGTTGTATTCTTTTTGCTTGTAATTAGGCCTAATTAGTTTTCAGCATTATACGCCACTACTTTTACTATGCTTTACTGGGAGCTCTGAACTTCCAGCAAATTTGGTATTACTCCAATTAAGTAAACCAAGATAAATACTATTATAGTTCTTCCGTTTTATCTTGATTAAAGGTTGTCTATTATTTGCCGATTATAAATTTAAGATCGCTGATTCGCAAAGACCTTCTTTATAAATAAACCTCAGTTTTAGGCTAGAAATTACCAAACCCATTCGAATGTGAACAGAACCTTTTTATGTGGAAGGCCATGCTTTGGGCCTGACTCAGGGGTGTTATGCTAGGGAGCTTAGGGGGGTTAGACCCCCTTGTTAATGCCGAAAATTGGCGAATTTCTACTTTTGCTATTCTTTTTGCAAAATTTTGTACAGGAGCCCCTCTTGTTATTTTGGTAGCACTACACCACTAGGCTGAATGGTATTGTGGCTATCATTACTGAAAAAAATGGTTTCAACATGATTTATCTTGAGGCCTACCTGGCAACACGGCTACTGGTTGTGTCGGGTTTTGTGGAGTTCTGAAACTCGCCAAAGCAAAGATGCCATGGCTTGACCCTTTTCGATTCCAACACAGTCACCGCCATGAGTTTCTATTTTGTTCGAATAGTCTCGTATTCTTTTTTCTACCAATTTCTTCTCTCAAAGTTGAGAAAATTTTTTCTAGTTACTTGCCGTGACATCCTTTGCCATGTGGAGGAATAATCTATTCACTCTGTGCTCCAGAAAATGAACATCGTCAGAAGGAAGTGGTGAACCCACCTCCCCCCCCCCAAAGTTTACGAGAGTGAAAGTTCTCTGATGGGAGCAAAGTTCACGGGAGTGGAGTACACATGCGTTTTCTGATTGGCCAGAGAAGGAATTTTGCATGATAAAATAGAGAAGAGTGGAATGTATACTTATAGCGCCACTCGAAACAACACGATTATCAATATGTGGTGAACTTCTTCAACTATCATTATCTTCTTTATCTTTCTTGAAGCAGCTATGAATGTTTTCGCATTGTCAGGATAGATCTTGCTAGGATGCCCTCTTCTTGCAATGAATTCTTTCAAGCAAATCATAAAGTTGTCAGGTCTGTAAGAACAGTTATGTATATAGCTCTAATTAAACTGCATGCGCACAGTGCAAAATATGATTTTTCCTTCCGTCTTTACTTTAACTTTGTAAGTTTAGGGGCCTGCAAAATCCACCCCAACGATTTTGAACGGTCTTGATCCTTCAGTGCGGTCTTTCGGTAACATCCCTGCTTTGGGTTGATTGTAAACCTTAACCTGAAACCTGCTGTGCCAATTCCACTTGAGTCACCAAAAGCATGTAGATCGATGTTTCCACTTTTTCTTCATATTTTGATATACTTCTGAGGATCTCTACTTTCTCTGGTAGTGTTCTTGTCCTTTTGTTCCAATTTTCCGATAATTCTCTTGGTAGCTCCTCATGCCATGGCAGCTTTGCTTCACAAACATCTCGTTATATGATCTTACCCCCTAGAATTACTTGCGAGATTATTCCCAGAGGATCGTATATTGAGGCAAGACTTTTTAGCAGTCTCTTCTTAGATATAACTGTGATCTGTTCTTCCGGAAAGGTCAATCCAATTGTATCATCTACCTTGTTCCAAGATAGACCTAGAAGCTTTGTTTTCGTCTGTCTTCAACCGTAACTATTGTTTTGCAAAACTCTGCTTTGAATTCTCTGTATTATTACTTTCCAATTCTGGTATTTTCGAATGTCATTTGTGTAATTTAAAGCCGGCTACATCGAAAATCTTGATTACTGTCGTTTCCAGTTTCTGCAGATAAAATTATGTCATTAAAGGGCCTCTCCAGCCAAATTTTGCACTAGCATTTTATTGGCCAATCTAAAGGAGTTGAGCCTGCTGATCACGAATTCGTCATTTGTTTTTCGATATTTTTTACAGTTTGTGAGATATAAGCTCTTGCATTTCGATAATTGAATTGAATTAACCGACAAAAAGTTTTCGGTTTGGTGACACTGTGACGCAATTTTGACGTAACAGTGTATTTCGTTAGTCTCGCCTCAAACCGAATCGAACGACAGCGATTCGCAAATTGAACACTGCAAGTGATGGTACTCTCAGTTCTGTTCCACCGGCTTTTAGTTTGAGCATTTCAGATATCAATTCTGAAGCCTTTAGTTGTTCATCGTTTCTGGAGAACAACTGAAGTGTCAATTTTGATTAATTATACGCGAGGGAAGAGCTGGAACAGGAAGCCGTAGCTTTGTGGGCCTACACATGTGATCAAAACAAAGTCGTGACACAGCATGGACACATTCCAACCCGCAAACTTAGAATGATTGTAAACATTTAATATTTTTCGATCCTAAACAGCTCGTGCTCTAGATTTAGATGCCGTTATCAACGCGTGACCATGACTCCTTCACGATTCGGTGGAAGATATACGAAATTCACGGCGAACGAGAGCCGCACATTGTGACGTCAGAATGTCACAAAACTGATTCGTCGTTTTTTTTCTCGGAAAGGTGCAACTTTAAAGCCTTATAACTTCTAAACTAATTGGAATTTTGCAATAACAACGACTTTGCCATAATACACGCACCAATTGCTAACTTTTTAGTCAATAAAAATTTTTTTTTTTTGGCTGGAGAGGCCCTTTAACATAGATGCTGTGTCTTCCTTCGTTCACTCCATAAGGAAACTCTTATTTTTTATTTTTCAGATGTCCCTTAATTGTAGCCCCAAACAGGAATGGAGAATGGTTTAGACCGAAAAGTATGCGCGCAAACCGGCATGTCCCTCTTTCCACTCTTCTTTGTCAAACCGCAAAAGATCTCGGTCTTCCTCCTTTATTCTAATCGGTAGAAACGCCTGTTTTTCATGTCTCCTGCTAATGAGACTGGTTTCACTCTGTTCCATATAAGATTCTGCAGCAGCGGTCCAGTTTCTAAACATACGTTTGATGAAGCTGCATAATTGTTGGCTTTTGCAGAGGCATCATACACCACCCTTGCTTTAATACTTTCTGCAGCTTCCTTCACTACAGGTTTGTAAGGCAAATAAAAAGAACTTTCCACTTGGTTCGTTCTCTCCTTTTTCAATGATCCCATGTGCCTCCTGGTCTCTGATTATCTGATTGTACTTTATAAACAGCTCTGGTTCCCTTTCTAATTTATGACCTAATTCATTCTTGCGATACTTCCTGTCTTGTTATTTTGCAGTTCTCGGCATTTTGCTTTCCTTGAGAGCGCAGGCTCATAGCACCCTTGTAGATCTTGTCTTAACTGTTCTTAGAACGCACTTGAACGCACCGTAAACTGAAAGATCCTCCTCTTGTTTGTTACGATCCTCAAGGACTAACAAATCCAGACTACAAAGATGCTCATAGTCTCCAAGAGTGCCTCTAGAGAAAAAAATCTGACTTTACCCTGTATCGACTCCTGGAGACATCAGTGTCTATCCTAATCTGGTTTGCTCTCCTACAAGATCTCCTGGTTTACCAATTTTTACCTTGGCATTTGTTTTGATCTTTGCAAACTCTGAGGCTCCCACGTTTAGGTGAACTGGAAGCTCTGGCTTTAGATCTATATCATCCATTCTCACTCCTTGCAAGTGTTGATACCTTCTAAGAACATCTTCGTATCTTGGATTCTTTATAGCTTAAAGCACCTCTCGACCTACTTACTTACGTCAATCTCCAATTTGAAATCATCCTTAATGCTGTTAACTTCCACATTGTAGATCTCTATGCGCTTGTGTGCTGTACTCAGCATCCTATCTATTTGCCTAGTTTGTTTCAACACTGGCTTTATACCCAACAGGTTCACCAATGTGGCTGAGATATACGAACTTTCGACACCTGTATCTAACAAGGCTCTGCATTTTACTCCGTTAACGTTGTCGACAACAATTGGATTTAACTCCTTTTCCCCCTGTGGCTAAAAGAGATTGTTCAGCCTTCCTGTCACATATTGATTTATGGTGTTTGCCATCACAGATTTGGCATCCACTTTTCATCCTACGTTCTATGATTTTGTGACTGGATCACATACAGTTGAAGCAAAGTCTAATTTTCCTTTTAGTTGTGCGAAAATAGGATCAAAATTTCTTCCGTATTTTTGATGCTCCACATACCAACGTGAACGGGGCCATCCCCTTTCTCCAATTTCAACTCTTGCACGCTTTTCTTTTAAATCCTGAAATTCGTTTATCCGTTTGTTGTAGATCTCGAGTTGTCGACTGACCCTAATTGTTGCAGTATTTCGTCTGTTTCTTTGCCGATAAAGTTTTGAAGACGGATTTTCCCCTCGAACTTCTTCTCCAGTTCTTCGATAAAGTTTTGAGAACGGCCCGACGCTGCTTCCTGTGATGATGGTGTGTAGCCTCAAAACCTGATTTGATGAGGGATGTGGCAACGTCTTCTGATGAGGGATCATTTTATCTTAATTAATGTTGATGTTTTTCTCTGAGTAAGAAATTAATTCCAAATAAAAGAGCCAGTTTGAAATATTTTATCTAATTTCATATATACTAAACATAATTTAACTATATTTCAGATATACTTAAAGTCAAGATCATATCCGAATCCTGTAAGGACATCCCGCCAGATACTGGTTGTGCTCATTGCAAAAGTCACGTGCTAGTCAATGGCCGTCAACACAGTCTAAACATGCGTGGGATAGATATCGTTCTCTTTGATTTCAGAAGTGGCCTATTTGAGCATAGGATGAATTACGATGTCTTCGGCAGCACAGTACATCAAGACAATTTAGCAACGTTTCTAAATAACCTTCCCCCAGGGAAGATCCTGTTCATGTCAGCAAAGGATGCAGTTAACATGAATAGTGGTCTAGCTCTTGCGCTACAAAAGATTGGTGTTTCCGCAACATTTGCAACTGCCCCTGTTCCAAATGTCTTTATGTCTCTGGCATATGTTGGCTATACAGGACAGGTGAGAAAAGATTGGGAGAAATCTGTTAACAGGATTGGGGGGTCAGGAGCTTCAATTATTGAAGTTAGCATCAAGACTTTTCATGAACGGGATGGAATTGATGATTGTTCAAATGAACTTGGAGTGCGAACCAGAAAAATACCGGATTCTAGGTTTTATGCAAGGACAAGTTGGAGTAATGACATCGACCACATGCCTCATATTGCTAGATTGCATTCTTCTAAACCTGGATGGTGTTCAGATACTTATGTACCGGTGTCGGAATACTTACAGGTGGATTTCGGAACCAGAAAAATATTAAGTGCTGTTGCTATTCAAGGTAGTGGTTTAAACGGCAGAAATGGAATTTCTAAATTTAAAATAGAGTACAGTAATGACGGAATAAATTGGGAGTTTTACAATAGAGGTTTAAGCTCCGCTGTGGAATTGGACGGTCTACAAGGGGAACATACTGACCAATTTGAAACAAAGGTTAACTGGATTCAAAACATACAAATGAGGTTCATTAGAGTTGTTCCAACAGCAAGAGCTTCTGATTACTCGACCTGTTTGAGAATGGAGTTATTTGGATGTTCCATATCAAAGGGTTTTGTAAGTGTAGAACTTTCGCCATCGTCTAGCATGTTTGTGAATGACATATTCACAGGTAAAATATCTCTCTTCGGTACCATAACGAAAAACATGTCAGTTCATATTTCTACGGCCCCAGATTTCTCTAGCCTTGCGACAAGCAATGATCAGTTTCACTTTCGCAGGATAAATGCATCGACAACAGTTGATAATGGAACTGTCTTAATGGACAATGGTGAGATGAACCTGCTGACCGACTGGACTAGAAAGATTGATAATGAAGCTCTGATTCAGTTTGGTTTAAAGGGAGATATTTACTATGCATTTGAAGTCGACTTTGTCGGAAAGGTAGGCTTTGTTAAATTTTTTAAAGAATGATTTTCTAGCAAAAGATGCTGCTACCTATGCAGTATATCGGTATTAGAACCGCCCAGTTAACTCTTCTCGTGGTTTTACTTTCTTTCTTCAGATCATCTAGTTTTTCACAATTTTCTCTTTGTTTCAAAAAAGGATAGAAGAAATCATGATAACTCTCCATATTTTATTCAGGCCTTCCATTTGCAGCTTTTTTATCGTGTTCGTACATCTCAATCAAATTGTTGCGGAGCTGATAATATTTGTTAATATACCGTCAGCGTTTCTTGATTGAACTGAGCATGTTTTCTTTTTACAAAACGTCACTGAAGCAACCGCTCGATGGTTGCAAAAGCATCGTCTTAGGAATTATGTACCAAACTTCATGCTCGTATCAAAAGATGTCATCAAATTTGAGAGAGGCTGGTTGCTTGCAAACCTTAAGTTTCAACAGATCTCACTTTTAGGTTATTGGTTAAATCGCATTGATGTTTTATTTTACAATAGTTGACTCAGTTTGCAAGCTCTTTCCGACGCTATTATCGGATTTGAAAACTTCGATGATCAAACTTTTTGCTGACCGTGCATTTTTCACACGTCCTGAATGGTGACTTCCATCATGCTCCACAGGGTTAAAATTATAAGTGGCCCTTACTTGTATGATAAACCTTTCAAAGTTCTTGTAGGTAGATTGGTAGATGGTAATGCAAATTGCCTATCTTTTATTCAAAAACAACAAATTACAATGGCTTGATTGGGAAAGAGCATGTGATCATATAGCTATGTCAGTCAAAATTTGTACATTTTGAGGAATTTCATTCTACACGCCCAGAGTGTGGAAAAACGTAAAGCGACGATAATATCAAGTCATTTGACAGGCAACGTCATCTTTTCAGTTAGGAGTTTTGTAATCTGTCTACATCAAACAAAAGATCTCGACTTGTGTAGACAGAAAGCGTTCTTTTCTCTCTTGGACACTTCAACAAGGTGAGAGATTAGCGGTCGCTGATTGGTCAAAAACAAACAACAAATCAAATGTGTCTTTCTTCCTATCACATTACTTCCGATCAACAAATGGATAAGAATTTTTAGCTTACTTTCGACCATTATCTGTCGTTTATATTTTGAAGAGTGCCTGTCTTAACCCTCTTTATTTCCGCCAAAATGCGTTCTTGCTTCATCCTTTCTCCGAACCGTGCCGTTTCAAACTCCTTTTCGTGCTCAAAAAGCTTCTGTCTTATCAAAAATTCCTCTAGAATATGAAATTGATATGCAATCATATGTTGAGTTCAAGATGACCTCATCTTATATGCCAAAAAGCTTACCATTTAAAAAATAAAAATACACACATCTATTGAAATATTAAATTCTGTGTTTTAACTATATGAAGACCGACGTTGCTAAAACGAGGAACAAGCGGAACAACCCAGGAACAACCCAGGAACAAGCGGAACAACCCAGTAACAACCCAGGAACAAGCAGAACAACCCAGTAACAAGCGGAAATGTGAAGTTATTGTTTTGTAAATAACACATGGGGCGTTTATAAGCCAACTCTCTAAAGTTCGTGTGGGCTAGCACGTGCACTATCAAGAGGCCGTCAAACACTTCCGTTATGTAATTTTTTGGCAGTTCGCTGCCATTTTCCCTCCTTTTCACACAACCGTACATAGTTTGATGGATCAGAAAACCTGTCGTTGTGGTTTTTCACTCGAATCAAACACCGACATAGCAAGGCAAGGGCTGGTACACAAAAAGCCCAAATTGAGGGGTCGAAAATTGAGGTGGGGGATAATATTTAGAATATATTAATGGCAACCGAAGGGACAAAAGGACCGGGGGTGTGGGGGTGTCACACCTCCCCGATAGTATCTCAATGAGAAATTTCAGGTAAAATCTCAATAAACTAACAACAAATGTTGCCAAGTTTGTACGAGAAATAATCAGACAAGGCAAAAAATTGGAAATTCTCCTGTGAACTGAATCAAAACTCCATTTCTAGGCATAGATTTATACTCATTACTTTTGATTGTACACTATTAATTGTCGCATTTTTTATGTTGCTACTGTTGTTTAATCTGCTGCAAATTGTTGCATCTCGATTAACCGTAAATAGCTGATTG